TGATTGGCTGACAGCCGTGGTATATCACGGGTATGAAAAAACCTTTATTTTTACTGCTCTAATTATGTTGGTACCCAGTCTATATTAGCAATAAGGCACCAAGGGGGTTTGTGATTTATGGCCAATATACCACGGCTAAGGGCTGTATCCAGGCACTCCGCGTTGCTTTGTCAATAAGAACAGCCCTTAGCCACACCCCCTCGTGCCTTATTGCTTAAATATACTATTAGTCTATACATACAGTGAGCTCCAAAAGTATTTGGACAGTGACAATTGTGTGGTTGTTTTGGCTCTGTACTCCAGCACTTTGGATTTGAAATGATACAATGACTATGAGGTTAAAGTGTAGACAAATTCACTTATGTGTATTAAAGTAGTCAAAAGTTTAGTATTTGATCCCATATTCCTAGCACGCAATGACCACATTAAGCTTGTGACTCTACATTGCGTGCTAGGAATATGGGACCAAATACTAAACTTTTGACTACTTTAATACACATAAGTGAATTTGTCCCAATACTTTTGGTCCCCTAAAATGGGGGGACTTTGTACAACAAGAGCTGTAATTTCTAAACGGTTCACCCGATATGGATGAAAATACCCTCAAATTAAAGCTGTATCATTTCAAATCCAAAGTGCTGAGTCCAGAGCCAAAACAACCAAAATTGTGTACCTTTGACTGTAGTACACGCCAGATGTTTAATCTTTTTTCCTGGCCGATGCATATGCAAGCCAGGCCAAGTCATAAACAACTACAGAACAAAAGGCAGGATTAACAGGGCTAAAAAAAATGGCACTACAGCCACCATTCATTCAGGGCACTTTAAACGCTGAACTACTATATTCAGTATAAAGCAGAACACTTTCATAGAGCTGCCTTTGCCTTTAGGATACAGTCAAGTCAGGACAGGAGTATTGGAGAAGTGATTAGGTCCCATTGAAAGTAAAGTGCTTTGATCATCATATTATGTGAGAACAGACACCTGAACAGGGAACAGGGAAAGTGAACTGGGGGTGGCTATATAGGTTGAGTCTTGTGGATGATCTAATCACATTACCCAAAGGCTATCTGTATCCAACAGCTGATGCAGTATTGTTTTGTTTGTTGGCATATTTGTTTTAAACCAATTAGGCGGCCTATACCTAAGACGCTAATATTTTAGATGCTAATACAGTGCAATATGAACGTCTAATACAAACAATAGACTGACTGGAAATGTGATTTCCCACAGTCAAAGTCCTGCAATAAGACGCTAATATTTGTGTAAACTCTACACAGTTGTGTCCTGTGAGTGTCACTGAGTAGGCTGATACCCCATTTCGTGGGTGCAGCATCCATAGGTTAGGCTGTACAGTGCATATAAGTATGCCCCCAATACAATTCTAAAGTTTAATACAGCCACAGTGCAATTTCAACTGATTTTTTAAATATATAATTATTGGATTTTGTTGAAGTTATATAACATTCCGACCTTGTTTAGCATCATCTAGTCCAAATATGGCATGATTGCACTATTTGTATACGTTTGATTCACGTTCAACGGGGGACTTTTATTTTGAAGGCGAACCACAATTCCACTCGTGGCAAATCCTTATTGTGGCTAGCTTCACACAGGTCCAAGCTAGAATGTCTGCCATTACCTCTCGAAAACTCTAGGTGGCATTCTGCCTTCTCCCTGCAGTTCTCAGTCATTAGTTTCGCCCAGCACTGCCTCATGTGAACTACAATCCTGACGCTGTGTCTTAACGTTTTGAAACGTCAATTATCGCATGTGATAAGGCTTTCGAAACATATGCCCCTTATCTTTCATCTCCAAGAAAGAATCCTTCAAAAAAAATAAAATGCACTTACTGTAGCAGTTTTACACAGATCCATACAGCTTTGGGTGCCTCAATCCGTTTAAAACTATAGTACACTTCCAGAGTTAAGTTTACACACAGGTGTTAGGAGCCTCTTGTCTTCTGTAAACAAGCGCTGTAACATGGAGGGAGATATGGCCATGTGGGATCACTAACCCTATCAAGGTGTGTATAAATGTAACCTTAAAAAATATATATATTTCTCGCTGATATGAAAGATAAGGCCATTATGTTTCCAAAACCGTACCGCAAGCCATGTATATTAATGTTCAGACCTAGCGTCAGAGATCTTAAAAACTACCCTTACAGAAGACGCCTTCGTCCAATGACTTATGTGTAATGTAGCCTAATTGCACTGAGAGACATGATCAAGGGCTAGTCTGCCATCAACAACGACCTGGCAATGTTTTTTGTTTTTTTGCACGTTTTGGGATCGCGGACGGCTTCAAATTAACAGATCTCTTCACACAAAGAATCTTACCTTGTTCTGTTCCGCAGAAATATGAGTTTGATCAGTGGGTGAGTGAAATTCACCAGCCCATTTTTGCAAATGCTGGTCACTCGCAGTCTGTGATCCAGAATGTGCAAGTCCATGGTTCTGAATAGCGCAATCCTGCCGGAGTCTTTCTGAATGAATGATTGTCTAGTTGCAGGAACGATCCAATAAAAAAGTTAATGAATTAATGTTGACTGTGTTATTTAATTCCCTTGGATTACAAACACCCGCAGTTTAGTTTGACTGTGTCTTGCATCAGTCAGTCGCTGATAAAGAGGAAAAACATGCGACGCAATCCAACTCAACTACTCTATTCGAATAAAAGACACTGCCTCATATAATAACACGCCCCCCGGTCTTAAAGCTACAGGGGACATACGTCATAGGTTAATATATTATAAAATGAATAAATGTGACAGATATAATATAGGCCTATCTGATATTCATAGTAGCCTATTTATCACATCCATAACCCCCCAAAAAGAAACAATTCTAGAACAGTGAACAGTGCTTGCAACTTCGGGTCTGCATGCCCCAGTATCTGTGTGTTTGAGATGTTGACTATCAGTGAGGTGTTTGCCCAGGAAGCTTCGATTCAAACTCCCATTAGACAGCTCTGCAAAGCATTATAATGTCAAAATATGTTCTTTACTCAACAAAGATGGAGTTTCGCTGAGCAACTATTTTAATTTACTCCCGTTACCTCCGATGTATTTAAAAAAAGGTCTAAATGAAAATGTACAAGCAACCGAAAAAATGCCTCTTTGACACTTCCAATGTATTATTGAGCTGTTGTAGACTTCAAAACCAGTGCGTGGCAGTACTGAGTGATTGGAGGTGCTGAATAGGCATTTTTTCGGTTCCTTCAAACATTTTATTTACATCTTTTTTGGAAGTACATACCGGCCTTAACGCGAGCAAATGAAGATAGTTGCTTAGCGAAACTCCATATTTGGTGAGTAGCAAACGTATTTTGACATTATAACGCTTGCAGAGCTGACTAATAGGAGTTTCAATCAGAGCTTCCTGGGCATTAGAGAGGAGGTATCTATCTATGCACTGTCGACATCTCCAATGCACAGATACTGGGGCAGGGTCTGCAATCCCATCACTGCAAAAACATGTTTCCATATATTTAATAAATTCACAGGTCAAAAAATATGCATAACAAATGTTGATCAATCGATTAACATTAAACAATTAATCACAATACAAAACACAATCAATGAGACATAGAAAAACATATTACATAACCTAATAATCCATGTTCAAATCAAATTGTATTTGTCACATGCTTCGTAAACAACAGGTGTAGAGTGAAATGCTTACTTATGGGTCCTTTTCCAACAATGCAGATTTAAAGATAAAGATACAAAATATAATATAGAAATAGTGACACAAGGAATAAATACACAGTGAATAATGAACAACAATGACGAGTAAAAATAGCATGGCTATATACAGGGAGTACCAGTAGGGAGTAGATGTGCAGGGGTACGAGGTAATTGAGGTAGCTATGTAAATATAGCAGTGGAGGCTGGTGGGAGGAGCTATAGGAGGACGGGCTCATTGTAATGGCTGAAATGGTATTAATGGAATGGTATCAAATATATGGAAACCACGTTTGACTCCGTTCCTTTTATTCCATTCCAGCCATTACAATGAGCCTGTCCTCCTATAGCTCCTCCCACCAACCTCCACTGACATATAGGTAAGGTTAAAGTGACTAAGCAACAGGATAGGCAGTAGCAGCAGCATATGTGGTGAGTGTGAAAGTGTGTGTGTGTGTGTGTGTGTGTGTGTGTGTGTGTGTGTGTGTGTACAGTGCCTTCAGAAAGTATTTATACCCCTTGACTTAACATCAAGCTCTGTCTGTCTTTACAAGACAGTTGCAGCATATTTCAATATGTCAAGACAAAGTATTACATGATCATGAAATAAAGGGGTCTGAAATGATGATCAGAGGTCACAGTCAGTCACAGTCTGATCTGAAGCATGCATTTATTTCTGGTCTATCCTAACTAGGGTTGCAAAGGGAGGGTATATTACTGGAAACTTTCTAAATTCACCAGCAAATTACCATAATGTTGGTAACTTTCAAGGAATAAATGGAATTTTATCAGATGGCATCTAGTGGCCTTTTTGGGTACTTCAGATTATCACAGATGTCTGTAAGTATCTCTGGCCCTCTTTGTGGCCTTATCACAAGTCATATATACAGTATATAAAACAATCTAATAAGATGATTTAAAAATTAAAAATAGAATGACAAAGCTGTAAAACATCACAACTTAGTGAATATCACTGGTGTTTAATATGAGGGTTTCAGCATGAAATATCCTTTATTTGTTTTACACACTTTTATTTATAATACTATGTCAGTATGTCTTTGTTGTAAATGTTTTGGGGCCAAACTGGTGGCAGAGTTATAGAGTTAATAGAAAATAATGCCATTATTGATTAGATGCTTTTTTCATTCATTAGGCTATTTTCTCTTGAACCTTATGTTCTATCTACTAGAAATTCATGGGCAATATGGACACAGATATAAAAATTGTTACCGATAGCTTTGCAACCCTAATCCTAACAGACGGAAGCAATTTACATGTATGCCCTGCATGACTAACATTAATACCAACTTACTAACTGCCCACGAGCCTGTCATTCTGAGGAGTGTGTTGGTGTGTGTGTGTGTGTGTTCTCTCCTACCTTTGTAATACATACTAGAATCCCATCCCTCCTTCAGCAAGGCAGAGTTTCTGGTCTCGTCTCTGGACTGGAGGTCTTTATAAGCTGAAGAGGTAAACTAACGACATACAGAGATCTTAGTACACATGGATAAGCATGAACATATGTCAGTAGTTTTGATAACTTAATGTCACGTTAAAGCACAGCATATTTTCTTATTTATTGTGTGAATGATGTGAGAAAATGTGAGTCCATTGCTTGTCAACCATCTACAGCAGGGACGGTGTTTAAAGCGACGCATATTTTTTTTCATTATTAAAAAAAAATTAATAAAAAATTATTTTGTATAAATTATAAAAATATATAGAACAGCAGTTATCAGTCCGTCTGATTGCAGCACTAATGTCAAACAGCTAAACTTCAAACCCCGCCCGTTTTTTGGGCGATTTCAGTCAGGTTGAAAATCGCCCAGAAGTCTGTCATAGACTCCCATGTAAAATCTAGTTTTGTCACATTTCAAAGCTTTCAATACATTCTCTATGGGTGTCTGTGGGCTTGCACTTACGCGCTTTCGTCATACATAACGTAACCACGAATGAACGTAACTAAGAAAAGACCAGGTAGCAGCCTCATTCAATTCACTACTACTATCAAAATGGCTAGGCTTCAGTCCAACTCGATTGTGTCTTTGAAAGAAGTTCCTTTTTGTCGGCGAACAAATGAAGATAAATTGGCAACGAAACAATTAGGACCCCCCAGACCAAATTTAATAATTCAACAGGTGTCTACTAAAGGGGGGAAGTCCTACACCCGAGGATTTTCCAAAAATTGGTATGAACGGAAAACCTGGCTAGCAGGCTGCGATGTAGCTAATGCAGTTTTTTTGCTACCCCTGCTTACTCTTCCACCCTGAAGGCGGCACAGCAGACAGCACCGCTTGGACAGCGACTGGTGTAACCGACATGCACCATCTTTCAAAAAGATTAAGAAAAATTAGCTGTCAAAGACCCACATATAGCTGTTTGAGATTGTCTGCTTTTGGGAGAGTGAATATTGCCACTCAACTGGATGAGGGATACAGGCTAGCTGTCCGCCGCCACAACGATGAGGTTAGCAACAGCAGAGTCGTGAACACTGTCTACGAGAATCGAGACGACCTCATATAATGTTTTGAAGCCATCCGGACGGGTTCATTGGGTTCATTTGACCAGCACACCTTGAGAGAGGCAGCTGGCTACGTGAGGATACTACATGATGAAGATTTAATTTTTTTCCTGCGGCTTTTTCACAAAATCATGCCCCACGTCGACATTCTGTACCAGAAGCTACAGAAGAAGGACATCGATGCTGTCTCTATCAAACGTGCCCTCGACAGCTTCACAATAAGGTAAGATTAAACCATAAGGTAAGATTAAACAGATATCAAAAAATGTGGTAAAAGCTCTTGTTGATCCTGCAATCTGAACAAATACCAAGATGCTGTATTTTCAGCTGATATTTCATTTGTTTATGGAAATGCATATTGTTTATGCAGTGTTGAGGAATGTGAAAGAACACCCTTGATTTTTTTACTGTGATAACTTATTTTGCTTTTGTAAGCCAACACTTTTGAGATCAGTCAATAAATGCTTCTGGTATTGACTTATATGCTGCCCCTGTCTTCATGTTGTTGCTGGACATATCTTTTTAAAAATGTGTGTAGGTCACCTAAATCATCAGAAAAATTGCCCTCCCTGAGAATTTGTTCAGGAGCCGCCACTGATCTACAGTAAATAAGAAAAGTAGTCCCGCTATGTGCACACTCTTTTCTTTTCAATTGATTTTAAATATTTTATACATTGTCACTACCATCATCAGCCTGCCTACTCACCCCACAGATGATGAACTTCATATAGGTTTCCTACCTGTGAGAAGAACCCTCCAACTGCCTCGTCATTCTCCTGTCTGTATTTGATCGCCCGCGCCTTAGCAAGATAATTAATAAATACAGTTAATATTGGACACATTTCACATTCTAGTGAAACATTTACTGGTTAGGTATTGTGTACATGAAGGACATGCATTTTGATAAAACTGCACCTGTATTTCAAACAAAGAGTAGTTGAGGTCTCATCACAGTCTTACCAATAATTCCCCCATTCGATCATTGTTCCAGGGTGAAATAGAAACACACAACAATGACATCATTAGAGATGATGATACTAAAGTAAGAATACACACTGAATGCAACAGCATCAGATTCACATACCATACTCATTGACAGTCAGGTGCTGCAATCCAAACATACAGTACTGTAAACAGACACATTACACACACAGTAAAGTCAGACCTGTTGGTTTTGTTTGAAGGTAGATGTTTATCTTCTTGGGTATGTTCTCTATGACCATAGTTTATATATGCCTCTGGGTCTCCTCAGGTATAATCATGTTTTATGGCTATGGCTATGGAGGAACTAGGAACTAACGTTCTAGATAGAATGAAACATGATTACACAGGGCAGGGACTTACCTTGAGTTTGTATGAGCGCATTTAGACTAGACATAACATAGTAAATGAAAATACGGGACACTCAAATTAGTATGATATGTTACGTTTGGTATGGTTACATAAGACAGGTTACTTAACGTAAAAGCTAAAGGAGAGAGGATGTTGGGTTGGTCGTTTAACGCGAACGTCTAGCAACCCAAAAGTTGCAAGTTCGAATCTCATCACGGACAACTTTAACAATGAAGCTAATTAGGTTGCTAGACGATCGCGGTAAACGACCAACCAAACATCCTCTCTCATTTAGCTTTTACAAGGTTGCATCACCGCCTGGTATGGCAACTGCTTGGCCTCCGACCGCAAGGCACTACAGAGAGTAGTGCGTACGGCCCAGTACATCACTGGGGCCAAGCGTCCTGCCATCCAGGACCTCTATACCAGGCGGTGTCAGAGGAAGGCCCTCAAAATTGTCAAAGACTCCAGCCACCCTAGTCATAGACTGTTCTCTCTGCTACCGCACGGCAAGCGGTACCGGAGTGCCAAGTCTACATTTTACATTTTAGTCATTTAGCAGACGCTCTTATCCAGAGCGACTTACAGTTAGTGAGTGCATACATTTTTTTATTTAAAAAATAATAATAATCATACTGGCCCCCCGTGGGAATCGAACCCACAACCCTGACGTTGCAAACGCCATGCTCTACCAACTGAGCTAAATCCCTGCCGGCCATTCCCTCCCATACCCTGGACGACGCTGGGCCAATTGTGCGCCGCCCCATGGGTCTAGGTCCAAAAGACTTCTCAACAGCTTCTACCCCCAAGCCATAAAACCCCTGAACAGCTAATCATGGCTACCCAGACTATTTGCACTGCCCCCCCACCCCATCCTTCTTACGCTGCTGCTACTCTGTTAATTATTTATGCATAGTCACTTTAACTCTACCCACATGTACATATTACTTCAACTACCTCAACTAACCGGTGCCCCAGCACATTGACTCTGCACCGGTACCCCCCTGTATATATAGCCTCCCTACTGTTATTTTATTTTACTTCTGCTCTTTTTTTTCTCAACACTTTTTTTGTTGTTGTTTAATTTTTTTACTTTTTTTGTTAAAAATAAATGCACTGTTGGTTAAGGGCTGTAAGTAAGCATTTCACTGTAATGTCTGCACCTGTTGTATTCGGCGCATGTGACCAATAAAATTTGATTTGATTTGATTTGAAACTTTACACTACTTACTACTTTTTAGCTATTCTGCAACTACTTAGCATGTTAGCTAACCCTTCCCCTAACCCTAACCTTAACCATTTAACATACCTCCTAACACTAACCTTAACCCTAACCCCTAACCCTAACCGCTAGCCTAGCTAGCATTAGCCACCTAGCTAACATTAGCGTTAGCCATCTAGCCAACGTTAGCCACAACAAATTGGTTTCGTAACATCTCATACATACTGCAAATGCGTAACATATTGTATGAATTGCAATTTGAAACATATCATACGAATTGTAATTCATAACATATCATACAAATTGTCATTCATAACATATATACGTAATGGATGATGGACATCCACAAATTAATACATAACATACCAAACAAAACATATCTAATTAATTTGAGTGTCCATTATTTTAATTTATTATGTTACGTCTACCCATGAGTCCAGGTTGGAAAACAATGACAGGATACTCTCACAAAAAGTTATATTTGATATCACTTGATATGTATTTTGATGGATACATTGTGGTATTGGTTTATCCAGCATGTGTCCGTTCTAACTTCTATTTGTCCATGTTCAAATATATTGTTTAAACACCTACTCGATTATTGTTCAATTTGGTCAAGAGTTAAATGCATGGTAGCCTCCTGTATACCGCCAAAGCTGCACTGCAACAACAAACCAGCAGGTGTCACTGTTGCATTGGCCAAACTATTTAGACCAAGCTAGACTAGAGAGACAGTTGTGTTATCATTTTACAAGAGGTCTGCCTATCGCCACGAAAAGGTATGTGATAACTACTAACATTAGATCAGGGTTGACATAAGATAACTTTAGATTACATTAAAAGAAAACATTGGATAGTGTTAAGATTAGGGTTTCATGAGATTTCACTGCCTTGTTTGAAATTGCACTGACACCATGAATTTTCTGTTTCTGTCTCTACTTACCAGCTTGGTTTTGGTCTCCGTACAAGGTATTCCAGCTCCCCACCACCCCACAGTCCTGGTCTAAGTGGAGCTTGCTCTGCACCTCAGCCCTGAGTTCACAGGAAAAGGTCAAAAGACACAATATCCACAGGTAGTGGGATATGTCTGTATCACCCTCTACTGTGAAGTCAGTGAAAGATATATGAATGGCCAAGAGAGGAGTCAGTTAGCATTTACAGCACACAGGAGAAAAAACTAAAAATGAAAGATGATTGTTATATGTCTGCAGACACTCAGTCTTGATATTGTGAACTGAGAGAGAAAGGAACAGAATTACAGTCTGAATATTGGTGGATGGACATTAGGCTATAAAATAAAAAGATCATATCACCTACTCATCAGCTTCCTCTGTACGGTATATTATGGGACTAATGTGTTATTGCCTCTGCAATCATTTCAAATTGACTATTTTAGGATCATCACCTTTCTAACCCAATTTCCCTGGTGTAATTGTCACACCCTGGCTCTGGGACTCTATATGTTGAGCCAGGGTGTGTTCATTCTATGTGGTTTATTTCTATGTTGGGGGTTCTGGTTTGTTGTTTTCTATGTTTGCCTTAGTGACTCCCAATCAGAGGCAACGAGTGTCAGCTGTTGGCTGGTTGTCTCTGATTGGGAGCCATATTTAAACTGTATGTTTTCCCTTTGTGGTTGTGGGTTTTTGTTCCGTGTTCGGTCATTGATACCGTGGACGTCACGAGTCGTTTCTTGTTTTGTTTCGTGCTTTAACTAATTAAGTCATGTTTGTTCATCACGCTGCGCCTTGGTCTACTCCTTACCTCGATCGTGACAGTAATTCCAATGGTCAAGTTAAAGAAAGCAACTGACAGACACTGGTCAGAACACAAACTAACAAACTAACAAAGATACTTGCAACTGTAGGCCTTTCTGAGACAATCAAAAATCAACAAATAATTGCTCAAAAATATAAACATTAATGTAAAATGAGAAGTAGAAATTAAAAAGAAATCTTTGTCATGTAATTACAAAACTTCGCTTTATTTAGCCATGTTGGTGCTGCATTTATTTACTTTCCTGTAGGTCCCACGGTGCAATATGCATTAAATTATAATAATAATTTAACTGAGACGTAATGATAAAGTCATACAGAGGCTATGCTGTGCACTAAGGCAAATTGAATCCAATTCAGTATAATTTGCTGTACAAATTAGGCTATGTTTGACCCTCAATCACCCTGTCACGACTTCCTCCAAAGCTGCCTCCTCTCCTTGTTCGGGCAGGCTTCGGCGTTCGTTGTCACCGGCCTTCTAGCCACTGCCGCTCCTCATCTCATCATTCCATTTGTTTTGTCTTGTTTTTATACACACCTGGTTCATATCCCCTCATCAGTCCCTGTATAAGAATTCCCTCTGCCCCCCATGTTTTGTATGTGATTGTTTCATGTGGAGGTGTCGATAGCTCGGTGGAGCTTTATGTACTGTATCGCCGGGATATTCACGCGTGTTTTGTTTTTTTCCAGTGTGCCGTTATACCGCACTGTAGTTGTTTTACGCATTGCTGCGAACCGCTGTATTGGTCGAATAAACATTTTATTCTGGGATTTACACCTCCTGCACCTGACTCCGTCAAATCACCTGCTACAGAATCACACACCCAACAGCATGGAGTCAGCAGGAGAGGGGAATATGCCTGGAGTTGTTGAGCGGGTCCGGGAGCATTCCAACATGTTAGCCAGCTTGGGCGAAGCGATGGATCAGGTTCTCCAGGTCATCCAGCGCCTGGAGAGGAGAGGACCCGACCCTGCGGAACCAGCTGATCGACCGGATCCAGCCACCCACACCCCAGGGCCCAGAGGTATTCACCTGTCTCGACCGAAGGAATACGACAGGACAGCAGCCCGCTGCCAGGGTTTCCTCCTGCAGTTGGACCTCTATTTTACCACCATCAGCCCGGCTCCATCGGGTCGGGAGAAGGTGTCCGCCCTCGTCTCCTGCCTCTCGGGGAAAGCCCTAGATTGGGCCAACGCAGTCTGGAGTGAAGGAGGAGACGCGTTGGACAACTACGGGGAGAAAGAAAATGATGTCATGGCTTTAGAAGCTTCTGATAGGCTAATTGACATAATTTGAGTCAATTGAAGGTGTACCTGTGGATGTATTTCAAGGCCTACCTTCAAACTCAGTGCCTCTTTGCTTGACCTCATGGGAAAATCAAAAGAAATCAGCCAAGACCTCAGAACAACAGCAAAGGACCTTGTGAAGATGCTGGAGGAAACAAGTACAAAAGTATCTATATCCACAGTAAAACAAGTCCTATATCGACATAACCTGAAAGGCCGCTCAGCAAGGAAGAAGCCACTGCTCCAAAACCACCATAAAAAAGCCAGACTACGGTTTGCAACTGCACATAGGGACAAAGATCGTACTTTTTGGAGAAATGTCCTCTGATCTGATTAAACAAAAATATAACTGTTTGGCCATAATGACCATCGTTATGTTTGGAGGAAAAAGGGGAACGCTTGCAAGCCGA